AAAAAAAAAAAAAAAAAAGGAAAAAAAAATACCTTTGCAAACCTATTTTACTTGCTAGCGTACATTTTTGTTTACTTTTACATTTGGTATTTCTCCTCTTTTTCGCAAAAACAATCGATAAAACTAGGATGGGCACCGAAAAGTTATCGGTTAAATCTGAGATTATTTTATAATTACAGATTAACAAGGGACGAATTTTATATGGCTAATCTCTTGTTATAATTACAGATTAGGATGTTAAGCTCGAAAATGAGGATAATCTACTTATATGTGAACCTAGTATAACAAAAGTAAGCTGAAAAGAACAGTTGATAAAATTGGCGAGTATCAACTAGCAGTTTACTAAAACTAACGAAATCGGGGTGAAGACTCCTAGTACTTTTGACAATGCAAGTAGCGTAGGTAACCAGCAGATTTGCAGACAATGGAATTTATGAGTTTCTTGAATCAACGCTTCCATTTTCGAAAGTGTTTATTGTTATCAGCGATAAAATCACGAATGAGGCCGGTCCACATAGAACTTTCGCGTTGGCTTTGGCGTAGGCGTAGGTTTGACAGAACGCACGTTAAAAGTATGCTTGCTACAATGAACGCTTGGCAGCGAATGCTTGGGCCACTAAATTAACATACTAACGACAGATAAATTAATACTTCATATCAATAATTGCATTAAAAACGATATTTCTTGCCCGCACTTTCTTGCCTTGACATAATTTTATTTATTTGCAACAGCTGACGAGCGACGCACGCGAAAAGTTGAGAGTTGGCCATCTTGTTGCTTTGTGTTGGCGTGAGCGTTGTCGAATTTTGGCTATGTAGACGGCTGCATTTGAATTCATGTATTCATAGTCAGCTGTTGAAGCGACGCTAATGCCAATGCAACGCCAAAGTTCTATGTGGACGGGCCTTAAATGTTGGCTGGCGACCAACTTTATTGAAAGCAATTAGTTGAAAGGTCGTTCAATGAAAAGTAGAATGCAAAGTTAAACAATGGAATTTATGGTGAATATTTTATATTTATTTATATTTTGATATTTAGAGCCATTCAATTTTTTTTTTCGTGCAACCCTGTGTGAGTTGAACGCAAAATCGCCTGGTGCGAATGGCTTTTTACTATGCTGCTATAATTGCAAATGCAATAGAATCCATCGTTTCTTTCAAAATATATAAAATCAAACAATTTTACAATAAATAAGCACTTGATGAATGTTTTTTAAATTACTTTCCACTTTGTTTTCCTTCATACAGCTGTCTTCGAAAAACAACGGATAGCTGGCAATGCTGCACAGGTTTCCGCAACGGTTGCAGCATGTCGATTTTTCGTTTTTCGTAATGTAGCTACGAATTACGAATTATGAAAATTCGGGTTCTGGAATAAGGGGTTTTATCCCGCTTGCGAGATAAAAAAGGAGAACGCATGCGAGATTTTGAAGTATGTGAAGACAGCCGGTAGGTATCGGGTTTCGATACGAGTATTTTTCGATACCTACTCTGCATGAACGAAAGACACAAGAACACGTAAGAACAAGAGAGAGAAAAAAGTCGAATTTTTTAACGGGTTCTACGCTATCTTGTTTCACTGGAAAACGAGCGAAAAGTAAACAAAGCAAAGAAAACAACGAAAACCAAAATTAGCCAAAATTATTGTCAGCCACTTTAAACGCACAATTTAGGAAAAATGATGCAACAAAATGCTTTAAAATGTGTTGTCATGTTGCATTAACTCTTCTTTACTTGAATAAAAGTGTAAAATAGTGGTGCTTGTGATGTAAACAAACGCTCAGCTGACGAACCCGCTTTCGCAAACTTTTTTCTCAGTTACAAATACAACGTCGCGTTCTTACGTGACCTTGTATTTTGTGTTCATGCCTACTCTGTACTTGGTCCAAAAATATCGATACCAAAGTTACTTTGTATCGAGCATGTACTTGTATTTACTCGTAACGTTTCATCTCTAGCTGCATCAGCTGTTCGCGTTTTTGTTTACAGCCGGCGCTTTTGATTCGGAATTTTTGTTTTGTTTCAGTATAAATTATTACTAGGCTTTTTTTCAATTTCTCAAAAGCTAGAAAAATTAAAGTTTCTAAACAAATTACATATCTGCCACAAAATTAGCGAACAAAAAGATATCGTGCCTCACAATGAGGAAAAAACGACGAAAGAAAAATCTGATACGGGCGATTTGCCTCCACCAAGTTCTCCAATGCCTGCTGACAGTGAGTTGGACATCACCAGCGAAAAGTTTGACCCATTACGCGCGCTATATGCTCCAGGATACCGCATTAGTGAAAAAAAGCCAAAAGTAATTTACCAAAATTTGGCTGCTTTTGAAAGTGCACTTAAACGGTTCGGTATTATGAACCTTAACAAGCGTAATGCACCAACTGTAAACCAAAGCATACAAAAAGAAGATGGTGGTTCAAGTACATCGAGCGTTGACCCAAGTATTTCTAAACAAAGACCAATACCAATAATCGCCGAAGAGACGCAGCAACGTCGATTCCAACCACATCAAATGCCTATTAAAGGAAGTGCACGCAAAGTAAAGGATATGCATAATATTTTTACATATCTGGATGGAGTGTCTGGACCGATGAAAGCATTAAAGCATTCAATGAAAGGACAACGTCGTGTGCGTGTGTTAGTGCGGAATGAACATGGCATACGTGGAAGTTTGGAGGGGTGGCTTATATGGTTCGACAAGTTCTGGAACTTATGGCTACGCAACGTAGATGAAGTATGGCAACGTCGTAAATACAAATATGGCGAAAATAAGGTCTGTGGTGAACCACGAGATTGCAGTTTAAGATTACATGAGCTTGGTATTGAGTTGCCGCGGCAGCAGGTGAGGAGCATCAATAGAAAAACTGTAGAAATCCGGAGGCAGTTGCCGCAACTTTTCGTGCGCGGCGAACAGGTAGCTTTAGTGATATTATCGGAAAATGTAGCGGCAACCGAAACTGATATGTGAAATATGTTTTGAAGGATACCTACTTCTAATTAATCTAAGAAACTAAAGTGAATTATAACGTTTGTAAAAAATGTACACATTTATTTCAGTAACTGAATTTTTCACATTGCTGCTACATATATTTATGTATTTTAAATCTAAATAAAGTATAGATTAATTCATTGCAGAATTTCAGGAATTTTGAAAACTTTTCTCACGACTTCGAAATTTTTTATATTGTAAATGCGACAGCGCGGTGGCTTTTCGCCTCCGAGAGCTAGTGTGAACGGATCCTCTGGACATTGTTTCATGCATTGTAACCGGCCCATTTGGAAGTCATGTGAATAAACTTCCTTGATGGCACCAATATTGAAGTCCCAGACTTTCAACATGCCATCAGTTGATGTTGAAGTCAACAAGTTCGCTACTTCTTTATTGAAGCAGACGCCTGATATTTCTTCCTCATGTCCCTTAAAGGACCACAATAGTCTATCTGGCTGCCTACGGTCTGCATAGTGAATACTTCCATCGTTTGATCCAACGACGAAATAGTTTGTATCACTTGGATTCCAGAGTACTTTTTCTACTTCACCAGGTGTTTTCCATTTAATATAATCACTATCTACTGCATCAGCATTGCGGCAATCAAACAATCGTACAATACCATCAGCACTGCCTGTTAAAATACTCTGCGCTTCGTCAGGATGAAACTCAATAGATTGAACCTTTTCCTCGAATGCAGTTATTGTAGTATGTGGCTGACCTTCATCTAAATCCCATAGGATAAGGGTCTGATCCACAGAAGCACTGGCGAGAATATGCTCAAAATTACGATTCCAAGCTAGATCTAAAACTGCATCTGTATGGCCATAAGCTTCTTTATGCTTCTTACGACTTCCTTTCGATCCCAACTTAAATGTAGGCTCCATTGAATCTTGTATATCCAAATCCCAGACTGTGATTACAGGATCCATGCAACCAATAGCGCACATATTACCTGTTTGGTCACTACCTGGATCGTGATTCATCCATTCAATGCATAGCGGAAAACTAGGAAGAATAAAATCATGATGTGTATACAAAGATTCCTCCCCTTGGTTAAACACCCAAACTTCCATAGATGCGGCATCGTCCTGGACGTGTCCTACCAATATTAAATTGTCAGTTGGCTTAATGATTTCATCTTCAGCCTCGGAATCGTTGTCTTCATCCGGAAACTGTTCTCTGGGGTCAACGACAGCGCCAATAACCGCGGAATTCGCAGCTCCTTCATTGTCGTAATTATCGAACCCAAATTCATCACCGGGATTGCGATTAGCAGCGCTTGGGGCCGATTCGTTATCTACTTCCATTTCATCTTCGTTGTCGTCATCATCATCATCTTCCTGAAGAGTATTTCTTGTTTCTTCAATAATGCGGGCCAATTCCGACTGTGTGAGCACGATTTTTTCAGGCTGTTCTTTAGCAACACCGCGCGGTACGAAGCAAAGGGCGGGCACAAAATCAATGTTGGCTTGCGGCGGTCCATCCTCTTCCATATTTTCAGGATTATTATTTCAATTTCAGTATCAAAAAATCCCGACAATTAATTGAATGAAAAATATTCGAAATCGACCGGCTGTGGAGCAACGTAAAGAAAACAAACACGTGCCTGTCAAAATATAAACTGACGTTTGGCAGCGGTTTGCGTACGTGCTTGGTTGTCTTCGGAGTTAATAGCGGTATTCACCCAGGAATGATAG